TATATAGACCGAATACGTCAGAGGAAGGTTCAAGGACCTCACTTAAGATAAAACCTAAGTTCAAATGTCTTGCAGAGATAAAAAAAAAAAAAAAAGTCATACCTGACCACCAAAATTTTAAGATAAGAATATTTGCTATCATCTGTCATAATTTATCAAACTCACTGGCTACTTTTGCTGCATCCCATTATCTCCGCAATTTTGTCCAAGCATGTGGTAGTGATGAATTCTACACCTTGCTTCTTGCAAAAAAAAAAAAAAAAATATATCCTGGACTTTCATCTAGTACCAGGTTTGCTTCTACTTACTTAATAAGAAAGAAATATTTGCCCTAAACTGTATTCTACCTCTCAGGATGAAAATCAGCAGTTCCCACTCACCTCCTTTTCTGTGAGGTTTTAGATGTTGGTGCAAGGCTGACCACATCAGCTCTCTAGAGCTCCTTCTCTTCAGACATAAGCATTGAAACAGAAGGTACACATTGTTCAATTTGATAGATACAAGACTCTCTAAATACCATAAGTTCTTATTGGAAAGAGATTTCAAAATACTTCTTATGTCAAAATACTTTATTTCTTATGTCTATGACTATGTTCTTTTGAGAGGAAACGTAATAGGCAAAAATCATGCTTCCTCTAATACTGAGAAGCATAACATATAGATGTTAATCCAAAATTTGTTTACTAGTTCTAGATGGCCCCCAAGGATCTAGGAATGCACAGTGGGGACAAGGGAGGCTTACAGAGCAGGAATGTATCTTCATAATCAAATTCCTGAGAACCCTTGTTACCACAGCCACAGCCTCCCTCTATCTGTGACAGTCACTCCACTCTGACGACAATCCTGCGCCTATCCATTTTGCCTTGCATACTTCCTCCAGAAACTTTGAAAAACTCTGCAAAATTGCTGAATCTCAGAAAACAACTTTCAGGTGACAGTTAAGTGCTCCCTATAAGTCAGTGCTCCCACCTGTTAGAGGCTGACAGCAGAGCTCTGAAATAACAGCCATTGGTCAGTATTGAAAATCCATGTTAATTTACATCTAAAAAAATGAAACAGGAAGCTGTCCTAAATTCAAGGAAGAAACAGAAGTTAAATACATTTACAAATCAAGTTTATCAGCATGAACAACTGAGCTGCTTCTACAAGCCATAGAGAAAACAAAACAAAATCCAACTCAGATCCATGAAACAGACTGGTCATTAAATCACAAGTTCATAGAATCATGGAATCAGCTACATTGGAAAAGACCTTTAAGATCATCAAGTACAACCATTACACCAGCACTGCCAAGTCCACCACTAAACTATGTCACTAAGGGCCTCATCTGCACGTTTTGTGAACACTTCCAGAGACAGCGATTCCCCCACTTCCCTGGGAAGCCTGGTCCAACGCCTAACTACCTTTTCAGTGAAGAATTTTTCCCTAATAGCCAATCTAAGCCTCCCCTGATGCAGCCTGAGGCCATTTCTTCTTGTCCTATCATTTGTTACTTGGGAGAAGGGGCTGATCCCCACCCTACAACCTCCTTCCATTGTTAAAAAAAAAAAAAAAATCACTTATCCCAGAATTGGCAGTCCTGGGGTAAAAGTCGGACTTGATGATCTTAAAGGTCTTTTCCAACCTAGCTGGTTCTATGAGACATTGAAACAGGCTGCCCAGAGAAGTTGTGTTCAAAGTCACGTTGGACGTCATGCTGAACAACATGATACAGTGAAAGATGACCCTGCCTCTGGCAGGCAGATTTGATTAGATGATTTTTAAAGGTCCCCTCCAACCAAAACCATTCTATGATTCTACAATATTTTGGTTTTGTTCAAGCAAAATCCACTCACCACCCATCTCAGTGGAACCATCAGCACTACATGACTGTTTGCAGAGTTTCTGACCTTCTTCTGACCAAATACACATGTGAAGCAGCACTGCTGTCTCAGTTTTTCAATTCCCAGCCTTAGACAGAGATTGAGATTACCAGAAGCATGCACCTTTGAGATATGATGTGAGGTTTTTAGCTGTGTGCCAAACCAAAATGCTAGCCTTTTTCTCTGTGGCCTTTTTCTCTGTGACAAGCAACAGTAGGAATGGATGGTAGGCTAGAACTTATTTTATATTACAAAAGCCACAAAACATGAAAATACCCTTAAGAACTACTACTCTTCGAGTTCATCTAGCTAACAAAAAACTTTCTTGTTTTCTGAATACTAGCAATCAGAACGTTAACTTTAAAATGAATTCATGATGATCAGGCAAACATTTTTCATATTTCTCCAACTGAGAAGCAAGCCAATCGCATGCATTGTGCATATTTCATAAGCCTCTTTTCCCTTTCCAGAATAACAGTTCGGCTTGCTACAGAACAAGGACCACTTTTACAGCTTTATGAACAGATGAGATGACCTGGAATATCTGCAAAATAAGTGAACTTGCAGCTAGACATAAAAATGCTTTAGTCCCTGGTAGGAAATTACATTTTATATTTATTTAGTAGAAAGTGAATTACAAATTCTTTTTCTTGACTCCCACACATGCATTATTTGCCCAAAAGCTAAAGAAGAGAATTTCAGCTACCATGCTGCAAAGTTGTTTTTGTTGCTGCCAGTGTTTTTATGAGTCATCTTTCTAGTCAAAGAACAGGCATTCAGATACTAAAATTCTAAATGCATTGATATTCTACAAGAAAAGGTAGATTTAAAATACAGAAATATATAACAGGACTTCGAGGAGTTATGACAAGAAAAATAGAAAACAAAAAAAAAGACCCTCAAGGTCTGACAGGGTGATATTTCTGATTTATTTCTCAATAAAGTGTTGAACATCTTTCCTTCTTTTTTAAATACCAGATGATACAGAAAGAGATTTAAATGATTAAATATTGTTGGGAAAATCAGACTTAATTACCTACTTTTAATAGTGATGCTCAGTACTCTCACTCCATTACTGAAAGGAGTAACCTTCTTTCATACTTTAATGGACATGGCATCTGATCCTTTCTGATAAATCTCATTCAGACTTCCAATAAGATTCCTGGCTGCCCATATCAGGCATATGGTGTGAAAAATCTTGCAAGCGATTTGTAACAAACAAGCTCTCTTGACCACAACAGTGGAAATCAGGCACAATCATCCCCTGAGGATGTAATTTTTCCTCCTCTTTCTCTAGGAAAAGAAAGCAAAGCATTTCTTCCCATGTCTGCACAATATCAGTGCTCTTATGTGCTTTGAATGAAAGACTGGGTTTGGGAACCAACTTAAAACATAAGTAATGAAATTTGCAATCCCTTCAAGATTGTTCACTGCCTACAGCAGTATTCACACTAATGGTCCTATAATTCTACTCAGATCTGTTAAAGACATTTAGTACTGGTATTCTAGAATTTTTTACACCTAAGAAGCCTCAGAACCTCCCATCTGAGTAATAAAAAAAGTAACTAGCAGAATAGCTAGGTGTTGTGGTTTGTTGCTGGTTTTTTGGACTGCCACTATTCCTAGACAAAAAAAAAACCTTCTAGATAAGTATCTGTGTAAGTGCTGACCTATAATTCTGCAACTACATTCATCTAGCAAGATGCTGATGTGCTCCACTGACAAGATTGATGGCAATTCTTCTGCTCAGTAGAAGTCAGTTAAGATGAAATTACAGTCCATTTCCTTGCAGTTTGCTAATTAACTTCCATATGAGAAAAAATTAATAATAAATAGAAATAAAATAAGAGATGATTGAAGTAAAACTAACAGTTCTTAAGTTTACATTTAACAGGTTGATTTAATATGAATTCACATGAACAAAGTTTAAGTAGTCACTGACAGCATTTCAGGAAAAAGTGAAGAAGCTAAATTGAATGCAAAAACAGGACCAGCAACTGTGGGACATAAGCATTGGCATTTGGGTGCAGATCTCCCTATTAGAGCATATGAAACTCTAAATGGTCTCCAGACTTTTTTAGGGCAACGATGTGTCTCCTCTGACCCTTCCACGATGCAAGTGCTGGAGTGATTTGATGTAGCCATTGAAACCAACAAATAAACAAAATCTAGTGAAAGGCAACCATTAAACATGACAACAGTCACGGATGTGAAATCAGATTTGCTTAAATGGAAAACTATTACAAAAAAGCATAAGTAAGTTCTCCTCAGAAAGAGTTCCAATAGTCTCTCATATTGTTAGGTTTTTATAACCTAGAGGTTTTCATGCCTTGAAAATGCTCAAGAAGTAACTCTTAAATAAGCACTGTAATATTCCTGAACAAGTCAGTAAATCAGAACAGCAGAAGCTGAATATTAATGATGACAGATTTACAAGGACAAATTTTCAAAGAGGAAAAAGAATCTGTTACAGCATGACAACAATAAATTCTTCTGCACACTTCAGCCATCCTACAAGACTGCAAAAAAGCTTGATTAAAGCTGCAAATTTAGCTAATTCATAGGTGAGTATGTTTCAGATTGATTTCTGAATAACAAAGAGACTTCAAAAAAACCTGAACTACCTAATTTTCATGAAACTAAGCAAGAATCAGATTTGGATACAGAACATCTATCTACATTTGCAATGTGACTAGGAACACACACATGCTTCTTGGTTTGTAATTAAAAAAGACTTTGGGGGTAACACTAAAAGGAAGGAACCTGAAAAAAAAAACAGACCTTCAACAACTGCAATGAGATATTCTGTTCCCACAAGTCTAATCATAAAGCTAGAAGCCTCAACTTTGAGCTTTCTTGTTTTATAAGGACGTAAATTCTCCTTGCTCAGAATATGAGAGGAAAACAAGAACATACATTTTCAATGCTCTTTAATAAGAGTTTGTACCTATGTAAATGAAACTTAGGCTTTTTTGACCAAATGACTAAAGTAGGAACATGAACCTCTTCAGGGAGAGTAAGAATTCTGAAAAATATTTATCATGTCTTCTCTTAACATTTTATTTGGTCTATGCCCCTCAAAGAAACTTTTATATTTAAAAGATGGTAAGAATCACTTTATAGAGAAGCACCTCTTACCCACAATAACAAATCCATCTGCTTCTCTCTCAGGCACTGTCACTTTCTTTGAATCCTGGCTTTTTCGGAAGAAGCTGAACATAGCCTCCTTTTTTTTTTTTTCCTTCTTCTAAATTGTTACCTAAAAAGAAGACAAAACATGTTAAATATAAGTAAGATAACAGAGTTGACCATAAGAAGGTCACACCACACCCAAGACTGCATACATGGTGTTACAGCTTAATATTTATTACCAGATTTGAAATATCAGGCACTTGTATGTCAGACAGATCACTTTGTTGATGTAGCAATTGACTCCAATAGGCAAAAAGAGAGCAGAATATAAATGGCTTTTCTAAAAAATTATTAATGGAGTCATTAAAAACAAACAAAAAACACAAACGAAAAGAAAAACCCTTCCACCTTTCTAAAGGAAAATGAAAGAAAGCAATTCCCTTCAGCATTTATCTAGCATGTTTCCTTATTTTTCTGCTACTTCAGAATCTTGTTACGCAAACTTTCACATCAGAGTCAGCTCTAATGCCTCTGAACTTTAAAGCGAAAAACATGATTCGATGAAAAAATGCAGCTTTGCAATACAGGAATAATTGAAAGAGGCAAATTTCACTGTACGTTTTCAATATTGCCTCTTGTCCTGGGTTCAGCAGCAGCAGTTATTTTTCTCCTTCTTAGTAGCTGGTGCAGCGCTGTGTTTTGACTTTCAGCCTGGGAGCAGAGCTGATAATACTGATGTTTACTCTGACCAAGGACTTTCTGAGCCTCATGTTCTGCCAGGGAGGAGGGGAGGCCGGGAGTAAGCAGGGACAGGACACCTGACCCAAACTGACCAAAGAGGTATTCCATACCACAGCATGGGATGCCTGGGGAGGTAACCGGGAGTTACTTGGTCATGCTTGTTTCAGTGGGTGATATTGTATTCTCTTCCCTTGTTATTTCACTATTATTGTTGGTGGTAGCAGCAGCGGTTTGTGTTACACCTCAGTTACTGGACTGTTCTTATCTCAAGTAGAAATTGTGGCTGGTTTAAACCAGGACATCTCTGCATCAATGAAAAAGTCCAACCCACCCACCCCTAATATATTAGCATAGTATCTATTTTTATTTTTCCAGGTTGCAATGGTAGAGACAGGTTAACACTTGTGTGTATTTGAGTAACAGTTACACCTCATTCCCTTAAAACAAACTTCAAAAAAATCATATGTTGCAATTTTTTTGTAACAGTAATTCACTAAAAGAGTCTTCCAAAGCCCCTAAGAACTCGAGTTCACAACAGTTAGAACAAAACCAGGAAACCAGGGGAATAAAACCATAAAACTGCAAAAGATTATGCTCAGTATCTCATCTCTCTCAAGACCAGAAGGTTACATAGAAGCAGTTACGAATAGCTTAAAAAGCACAAATTCATATTAAAACTCTCACAAACGTTAGCCAAAAGATAGACAGTTGAGGTGGCTTTTACAAATTAATTCCTATGAACCACCCCATAAACATGAAACACTCTTATAAGCAAATTCTCTAATTATTCTGAACTTTAAGATGTAGACTCAAGGAAGTTTCTCTTCTTCCAAGAAAAATTTAAAAAATCTTAATCAGGAGAACAACAAACACAAATGTTTGTGAATACACAAAGCAAATACACAAGGCACATATTCACGGGTTGTGCTTATTGACAGGATACCAATGTACCACCACTTACTTTCTACTTCCTACCTAACTGGCACTACTGAATGTAGCAATGAGACTCCCCAGCCTCCTCCCACAACAGCAACTCCATCTGGAGCTCTGGGACAATGAGACAAGGAAAGAGGCACTGCAGCAGCAGTCAACCCTTGAAGGTACACTCGCCTTCAGCTTCCAAGGGCTGAACCTGGGACAATGCCAACCTATGGCGCAGCCCGTGGTCTGGCTGAAACATGCTGTGCACCAAACGCAGAGAGGAAGGTTTAAAGAAAGGTGTGTGAACAGCTTCTCTACTAAAATACCAATATGAAATTGGGAAAAGTGGAATAGAGTAATTTAATGTTTGAAGTAGTTTGAAAAGCAGAATTCTGCTACGACAGACACCAACATTTAAAGGAGGATTATCAAACCAGTAGCAACATCTAATGCACACCTACAACTCAGGAAAGGAGCGCAGTTCAAAGAAGAGTGGTTATTTGAAACAGTGTCAAGTTTCAGCAACGTTGTTTCACTCTAAATTTAACAAAGAATCTTTAGAAGGTGGGGAAAAAGAGAAGAGTGCTATCATGTAGCATTTGGGTTTATAAAACAAACAAACTAACAAAAAATAAAAGACAAGTAAAAATCCTGGATTAATTATTTACCAGAATTCCTCACTTCCCACCCAAATATTCATGGTACCATAAGCAAGACTTTTTTTGCCTTAGCCAGTGACCTGTAGCAATTAACTGTACAATCAGCACTGACCATTCACGAGATACAAACTGCCTCACACGCAGCTATTACAAGCAATAGCAAACACTTCCATACTCCAGATCACAGAAAGTCCTATGTGAAGTGTAAGCTCTGGCCTTCAGGAACAGTGTATAAACAGGACATGGCAAAAGCAGCAACAACTGATCTGTGGCCTGATACCTGAGACTTGAAGACTGAATACCCCCCCAGGCTGGTCAGCTACTGCTTGCTTATGCTGATACAGTGCAATTTCTAGCAACCAAATAAAACTACACTGACGTACACAAGAACAGAACAAACTATCCAATCTAGTTATGTAGTAACAAAAAAAAAAAAAAAAGTTACTTTTCTACACCTTATTCCCTTTGCTTTTTCCTCACCTTGCCACGTGAAAGACCAATATTTCCAGTTCTGTGGAGAATATGCAGTAGAAACTCCTAATTATCTCATTTATTCCTTACCTTCCCCCACACCCAGGCTCAACACATGGCGCCAGCAGCATATTCCTTTTTCAGCCCTCAGGGAATAAGTCTTCTCCTGCTACCAATTAAGGCTGTCAGTCCCATAGCTCAAGTGGTAAAAACCTGTGCTGTAATGCTCAAGAGTCAGGTTTCTGCTCCAATGATGTATGAAGGAGAGGTGGCTGTGGAACAGTTTAAAATGCAATTTTACCTTCATCCTAAGTGTGCAACAACAAGAAGCAAAATCAACTTGATGTATAAAATCTCACAGACAGCTTTGGTAAAGCCTCAGATTCCAGTCAGCCACTTCAGGTGCCTGAACTGCAGTTGTTCCAATCACATTCATTTTTTTTCTCTTTGAGATCTGCATTATTGTACACTTTGCAGCTCTATTACATACAGCACCCCTTCCCTGCATTCGTGCACAAAGAAAAGCATCTTAATCAGTATCTACATGACACAAAAGAGTCATATAGGAAACCATGTATTTGTCATCTTTTAAACCCTGCATATCCATCATACCTAAACTTCACTGCTTAAAGGACATCAGGCCTTCCAATTCAGAGTAAATTATCAATCAGTACAATTTGAGCTAGCCAAATTCATGTCACAAGCACTTTCTCATGCTACATTTTCTTCCTTTCATTTTCAGAAGGCAGCCTGAGTATCCCTTCTTTTTTCTAAAACCCACAAAATTCATCTTCTCTACATACATGTGAGTTGATCTTTACTTTGTAGGTTTTGGTTTCTGAAGTAGCTTTACCTTAATTCCACTGCCAGCAGTATTTCTCAAACAGAAAACAAAACGAAAACCCCACCCCACATATCCTTTGGCTTGAAGCAGAAAAACAAAGCTAACAAAAGTATTCCTAAGCTCGGGCCTTCAGTTCTTAGGCTGTTAAAACCACTGGTCCAGCAGTAAGAAAACAGCGTGCATGGTATTTTGTGGTGTGAACACTGGGGAGGTGGTAAGGAATCCACATATTAAAAAGACTAATGTGCTTAGTGAGGTAGTTTCTTACTTTCACTGTTTACCACTTAGGAACAAAACATGCCTGTAGATCTTGGGTCTGCATAAGCAATGTGAAGGAAGGAGCTTGCCAACTACTACTTGCTGTATTTCAATACCTTTGATGAACACAGTATTAACAAAACATAACAAAATAAAAGGGGGGTACAGAAGCAAAATATAGAGCATGTATGACATAGTTAAAGGAAATGCTGGGACATTTGTGATTTTTCTCTCTTAAGAATTTTATAAACTGTTGTACTTCAAAAGTTAACATAAATCTTTCCAGCAACGGGAAATGCAACCACTAAATTTCTTGAGTTACATGTTAAAACCAGAACAAAGCCCCTGTCCAACAAAGAAACACAGAGCTGAATGGAAACACTCATGCTCTTGAAGATAAGAACACAGTTTAAGCACTTGCAGAATCAGGCTGGAGTTTTACTACTTGTAGGTAAGATGAGGTTTCAGTTAACAAAAGCTAACTGAACAACCAGTTTCCACACAAATTTCATTTGAGAGTAAAAATTACACTTGAAGTTTGTGGACCTGGATGCACGGTCACACAAACTGGAGACAAAAAGCACTTAGTTACACGGTTTTTTTTTAAAGCTGTCAGCACAAAATCACAGAAAATACACCCACCATTCAGAGATAGTACCACTTTCCTGTGGTAATTTCTCCTATATAGCACAGCACTTTTCCCTGCCAGATGGGATTAATTTTATTTCTATAGGAGACCTGAAATTGAATTCACTGCCTAAAGATAAAAATCTCCCTTGGTAGGAATATACAATTCCCTTCTCCTCATGTTTCCCCCTCACCAAAAAGCGAACACAAATTTTTCTTTCTCCAGTCTCAATCACTGATAGGTAAGGAAAATGCTTTTGGCACCACTTCTGACATTAGCAAGTAATAAACTGTGAACTATAGCAATTTTGTGAGGCTGCAAAAAATATTTTGTCTTCTGTGAGGCTCAAGAACATAAGTGAGATTGGACAAAGATGAGTTACAGAGCTGCACAAAGGGGTTAATTTATTCCTCCTGCATTTTGTTAGTCTCCTTTGACAAGAAGTATGGGTGACCTTTGAGCCAAACCAATACGTTACATCCAATAAAAATTTGCAATACAATGAAGATCCTAGCATATTTAACATTACTTTTTGGCTTTTTCCTGCATGTTCACAAGTGACAGGAAGAGAAAGGTAATTTAATGTTAAAAACAACAAAGATGCAGACAAGATAAGGAGGTGATGCCCAGGAATACAGCAAAGCAGAATTGCAGTGGCAGTGCCAGGAATTACATAAATGATGAAATGTGGTCAAAACAAAATACAAAACTGACCTTAAAGAAAGGACCAGAATAACTTCACATCTAGCAGTTTAAGCTATATAATCTATAGAAGAAGAAAACAGAGCATCAGAGCAATTCTCTTCCATATTAACATCTCCCGTGATTGATCAATAAAATATCAACCATAAATAGAGCAAGACATTTACAGCCTTGTGCAGCCCTGCTTATGACATGAAAACAATCAATTTAAGAGTCAAGAACATGTGTGTCACAACTATTTCTCTGTGACACCAAAAGCACAGTTTAAAAGCTTTTGCCCCAGTGTAAGTTACTATGTGAAGAAGTAAAAAAAAAAAAACCAACCAAAAACCAACATATAATTTCTTTTAACTGGCATTAATTTTAGTGATATTCCTTTAGTTTGCGCTTCTTAAAAACAGAAAGTAAGTATGATAAGAAACACAAAGACAAGAGGTATACACATATAACAAAACACTAACAAAGACTTCTTTACTTACATAAAATGTTAGTATTTTTAAAGTTTTCATAGAATTTAAGGGAAGCAGAAATACCAAGAACTATGCAACCCAAATTACTATAGTATAAAACCACTTAAAGATGCTGAATCACAAAAAAAAACCCAAACCAAAAACCCAACCCCGAAACATAACCACAATCAAGTCAGACCATAAAAGCACTGGTGACAAAGGCAAAGCCCGGAGTGAAATAACAGTACTCAAACCAATGTCAACGTTCAAAACCCTGAAGATAGAAAATGCTGAAATAGAAAGCACGGTGCTTATTAGATATAACATTCAATAGGTTGAAACCCACTTCTTTCCCTGCATACAGTTCTTTTTAACTGCAAACCTTCAACAGCTGCTAAGTATGATACAGACACATATTTGTAAGAACTTCAAGATGTTTTTCTAACAGTTGACCCTTCAAACATAGAAGACAAATAGCCCTAAAAGCTACTTTGGAGCAACCTGCTGAATCTTGCTCCAACTGTTGCACTCTTGAGATCTCTCCTTTAGAATCTCTGAGGATATGCTAAGGAGATGAGGATATTCTCTTGCAAATAAACTACTGAAAAGGTGAATGGCATAGTGACACGTAGGAGATAACAACCAGCTGCACCCTAGTGAAGCTATAACCCCACAGCACTCCCCTTCCTGGCCACATGCTGATTCTGCACAGCTTTGGGTGGTAGCTTGCTTCCTTGGCAATCTGATTCAGTTTGCTGAGCCATCACATCACTAACCCACACAATTAACAAAAACCACTTTGTGCCCCTTACCAAGCTGAACTGCTGGTTAGCAAGCTGAACTAACCCGTGGATGGTTAAAAGAGAGAGACAGCACATAGACAGTGCTGGCATCGCCCTTTTAAGCCAGAGCAGAGTTAGATTTTCTCAATTATTTCCTGGAACACCAGTCCTGGAAACAGAAAGGAAATCACAGAATGGCTGAAGTTGGAAGGGACATCTCTGGAGGTCATCTTGTCCAACCTCCTGCTCAAGCAGCGCCACCTAGAGCTGGCTGCCTACGTCCATGTCCAGACAGCTTTTGAATATCGCCAAGGATAGAGACTTGTGCCAGTGCTTGGTCACTCTCACAGGTAAAAAGGATGTTTCCTGATGCTCAGAGGAAACCTGTGTTTCAGTTTGTGGCCAGCCATTGCCTCTGGTTCTGTCACTGGGCACCACTGAAAAGAGCCTGGCTCTGTCCCCTTTCCACCCTCCCATCTGGTATTTATGTGTTTATAAGATCCCCCGAGTCTTCTCTTCTCTAGGCTAAACAGTCTCAGCTCCCTCAGCCTTTCCTCATATGTAAGATCCTCCAATCCCTTAACCACTGTGGCCCTTCACTGAACTCGCTCTAGTATGCCCATGTCTAATCTTGGACTCAAACCCGGACCCAGCACTCCAAATGTGGCCTCACCAGAGGTAGGTAGTGGGGAAGAATCACCTCCCTCCCCCTGCTGGCAACACTATGTCTAATGTAGCCCAGGATACCATCAGCTGCCTTTGTCACAAGGGCAATTGGGAGGAACCTCTCCACCAACAGACGGGAAAAACACACGGAAAAAGCCAAGACGTGGTGAGAGTGCCACATCCAGATGCTAGCTCTGGCTTACGTTCATCAGTTCCCATATCATGGGGATCAAGCATAAGCTTTTCAATGGTGAAATGAAAAGGAATTAAATTAACAGTTCAGTTGGAAGGGACCTACAACAATCATCTGCTTCAACTGTCTGACCACTTCAAGGCTGACCAAAAGTTAAAGCATGTTATTAAGGGCACTGTCCTAATGCGTCTTAAGCACTGACAGGCTTAGGGCATTGACCACCTCTCTAGGCAGCCTGTTCCAGTGTTTGACCACTCTCACAGTAAAGAAATGCTTCCTAATATCCAGTCTAAACCCCGCCCAGTGCAGCTCTGAACCATTCCCACACATCTTGTTACTGGATACCACGGAGATCAACACTCCCTCTCCACTTCCCCGTTTCAGGAAGCTGTAAAGAGCAACGAGGTCAACTCTCAGCCTCCTTTTCTCCGAACTAGACAAACGCGGTACCCTCAGCCGCTCCTCACAGGACATGTCTACCAGCCCCGTCTCCAGCTTTGTTGCCCTCTGTTGGACGCAGCCAAGTACCTTCACATCCTTCTTAAACTGGGGGACCCAGACCTGCACACACAGAACAGTGGGAGGCCGCACCAGTGCTGAATACAGTGGGATAAGATTCTCTTTTGACCAGCTGATTATTCTGTGTTTGATGCACCCAGTCCCCCTGGCTGCCAGGACACATTGCTGATTCACACTGACCCTGCTGTCAACCAGCACCTCCACTTCCCTTCCTGCAGAGCTGCTCCCTAGTCTTCCACTTTATACTCGTGTCTGTGGAAACACATGCGTATCACAGCCGTACCACACAACGTTTCGAACATCAGCTACGGCCTATAAAACAAACGGGGGTTAAGAAACCGGGGCTGGGAAGGCCTGGCTTCGGCAGCGGTGACCTGAGGGGATCCAGTATCTAAAGGGAGAGGGAAGACGGCCCTTAGGGGAGGGAAAACGCGAGGTAATTTCAGCGAAAAGGATTAAATGTCAGGGCTGGAAGAGGACGGCCGTTAAACAGCAGCGACACTCACAACACCATCACCCCCGGCCCCGCCACCCCATACCGCCGCCACTCACCAACCTCCACCACCTCTTCCGGGTCGCGTCGGGCAAAAGGGAAGGCGTGCCGCTATCCCCCTCCTCCCCCTTCCCAAAATCCTGGCGCTGCCAGGGTAACGACGCCACTTCCTCCCGCGAAGGGCAGGTAGCTGTGCGGCCATGGGCGACGTCCACCAGGTGCCGCGGCACCGCATCGCCACCAGTCACCTGGCGCAGTTCATCGGCCAGCCCGTCTGCTTCGTGGGCCGCGTCGAGAAGGTCGGGGTCTGCTTGGCGGTCACTGCTGCCCTTGGGGGCGGTTGGGGTGGGGTAAGGCCTTGCCCCGGGGTGCACTCCCGCCTGGGGCCTTGCGAGGGGACGCTGTGGCCGTGCCTGGTGCAGCGGCCGCTGTCCTGAGGGAGGCCGCGGCTGCGGGCAGGCCCGGGGGTAGGGCGGCAGGCGGTTGTAACGGTCTGATCTTCCGGGAAGAGGCCCTCCGCGCCGGTCCGGCTGGGGCGGCTGAACCGGTAACGCTTGCAGCCCGCCGCCCTCTGAGAGCACGGGCCTCGTGTCTCTTCTAGATACACCCGACCGGGAAGCTCTTCGTGCTGTCGGATGGGAACGGAAAACACACGACCGTGGAGCTGAGCGACCCTGTAAGTTCAGGAATGCCGTGGAAGTACTTGATGTTGCCTCTTGTGGATCCCGGAGGTTTTGTCCCTTCTGAAACCTGTGCAAGCCTTAACATGCATTGAGTTTTTAGTCAGGAAAAAAAAATAATGCCTGGTTTCTGCCTTTTCCACCTGTTTCATTGCCTCTTACATCTTCCAGCTTCCATGCAGTATGTCAGGAGCCACCTTGGTCTTCATCAGTTTTCAGCTGATGTTGAGAGCAACAGCTCATTCCTTGTCAGACACATCCCTGTCTGCTAATTTGTCTTACTGTGTTCATTGTTTGCAGTGTCATATATGCCACTGCATGTATTAGCTTTATTTTAATTTTGCTTTTTCCTCCCTTTTTCTTATTGCCTTTATATGCCTAGCAGATTTTGTAAAGATAATCAAGAAGCCCCAAGAACATGGTTTTCTCATGAGTATTTTGAGTTGACGTTTCTATATGCTTGTGTAACACTTGCCATAGCATTCCAGTAAACTTCATAGTTAGCTTGAGGCATCCTTAATGCAGTGGGTATAAGATATGCTGGCAACTACTGCAGAAAAATACTGCTTCCTTTGTTACCACATACCACTTACTAGAGGAATAACACCCTGTTATTGTCTTTACGTTTTTTTTTTTGTCCCTGTAACAAACGTTGTAATTAAGAGATTCATTTCATTGTGATGGTAAATGCTTTAACTGAGCATGTGTGTGGTCTTTACATCATTTTCTCTGAATAAGTTGTTAAATTCCCATGTGAAATAATTGCACATGGTACACTCTGACGTCCAAGATGCTTTCTAACTTCTTTTTCCCTTTAATAGATGCCTTTGTATGTATGTGTCACTCCTCCTTTCAAAAAAAGAAATACAAAATTGTGGGGAGGAGAGGGAATCTATTGCTGGGTGCCAGGAGATTTGCTAGAAAACTAAAAGTATGTGTTAGATATTGGAAGAACATTACTGAAATAGTACCACACTCTTAAAATTAGAATCTTAGAAAAGAAAGAAAACATCTTTAAGCTATACAGTTTTGGAACAAGGTTAAAGTTTTAGCTGTTTTGTTGGGTTTTTTCTTTATTTTCCTTGTTCAACCAAAAGCTTGTATTGTCAGTATCTTTGTATTCTGAACACTCACTGACAGATTACTTCAGAAATAATTTCCCATTATACCTCTTGAATCTGGAATACTGGAACTGCTCTCTGCAGTATATGATACCTCCTTACCTCTTACAGAGTTCTATAATTTTGTCAGGTTTAAATGCAGGGCATTAAAAACTGTATTCTGCTGTCTTCTTCAGTCTCTCTTCAGCGATTAAATAACACTTCTATATGCTTATAAACTGTTATCTTCCTTCTGATGCTTCTTTGTATTTTTTGTGTGTGTGTGTCAGTACTGAGTTGCCTGTTACAAAAGCTAAATCTATAAGTGGTTCAAGTTTTTGTGGTTTTTTTTTGGGAGAGGGACATGGCTGTTCAGTAGTCCTGTACTGTTTGATAGGGAACAGAAACTGAACAATCAGTTGTGGAGAGTTCCTAGCTTAAGTGCTATGAACTGGAGGCAGCAGCTAATTAATTTAGTAACACTAATTTTATATTTTGTGTTTTCTAGCTAGATGAAGAGATCTCAGGAGTCATTGAAGTCGTTGGAAGAGTAACAAATCAAGCAACCATTATGTGCATGTCATATGTCCAGTTCAGAGAAGATAAAAGTCCATTTGGTAAGTAAGAATATACATTATGATGTTCATTTTGAGTTTGTATTTAGTTCTTGAATAAGTAATTAAGACAGGCTGAGAGAGTTGGGCTTGTTCAGCCTGGAGAAGGCTCCAGTGAGACCTGGTAGCAGCCTTCTAGTACCTAAAGGGAGCCTACAAGAAAGCTGAAGAGGGACTTTTTCAAGGGCGTGCAGTGACTGGACAAGGGAGAATGGTTTTAAACTGAAAGAGGGTACATTTAGATTAGACATTAGGAAGAAATTCTTTTTATGAGAGTGGTGAGACCCTCAAACAGATTGCCCAGAGAAATTGTCACTGCCCCATCCCTGGCAGTGTTCAAGGCCAGGCTGGATGGGGCTTTGAGCAACCAAATCTAGTGGGAAGTGCCCCTGCCCATGGCAGGGGGGTTGGAACTAGATAAGCTTCAAGGTCCCTTCTAACCCAAATTATTCTATGATTCTGTAAGTAAAAAGGGAAACCTTGTTTATCTTTGCTTATGGACAAGGTCTTTCAAGCTGCCAGATGTGCAGTAAAATGTGGGAAAGTTGAGTGTCATGGGAAAAATCCTGCACAAGATATACCATTTTACTGTCAAACTAGGGACTGACTTGAAGTTGGGAGCCAGCCTAGATAATTCTGATTATTCTCTCACTCCTGACCACGTGGTTCTTGCATTACACTGGACCTTGTGTGATTGTACAGCTCGCAGACCTAAAACTAACCTTCCAAAAAGCAAGCAATGGGAGGGTTGCTGCCTTGGAGAAAACTGGGGAGGATGAGGGGCTCTGGGAACACTTAGCTAGAGTGTTCTGAAATAAGCAGAGCTTTAATGCTCTCATTTGCTTGTGGGGAATTTAGCTTACGCATCACAACAATTTTCTTTGCCTTCTTTCAGATCTGGAACTATACGATGAAGCACTAAAAATTATTCATGAATTCCCTGAATATTACCCATTTGGTACTGAGAGGAACACTTGATTTTTCTTTGCATACATTGACAGCATGGTAACAGTTGAATTTATTTCCCACCAATACACTGAAAAGATGCTAATACATGCGCCACGTATTGCCACTGAGGAATGATTTCTTTGCAAATGTATTTGTTCAGCAAGGAGAACACTTTTGCGGCTCTCTCACTGTCTGTACATAACTCTTTTGCATCCTTGAGGGGTGTTCTCTTGCAGGATTGGTCTTGCTAGAAACTGAAGTTTTGTAACCAACTTTGTGTTGTTATTGGTAAAGGTTACCTTTTTACAGGAAACTTGTACTGAGGACATTTGGTGGGGGTTTAATGTAAAGATCTTTTTTTAGTCTCATTTGCTTTGGTATAAAATCTGTTGAACACAAGGGGTATTTTGCATCTTGGAAATGGTCTCCAATAAAAAAGTGGGCTTTTTCAGTGATATGTGGTGACTCCTGTTTTAGCAGACACACGTAATTTTAAGAAAGTCGAGTACGAGGTACTTACTCTTGCTCTGATGTTAAACACTTGGAAGATGTCTAGGTAGGCTTGGGGATTTCAAGTGCAGTTGACTTTCCATCACAACCTTTGTTTTTGGTGGGAGTCTAAGTGATGACTTAACCATGTAAACTTCTAAACACATCCCAATTTTCTTATTATCCCGGCTATTTACAGCACATAGCAGAATTCTTACAGCTCTTGCGGTAACACAGTCAAAGGAAAATCTAACTTTGGAAATATTCTCTGTGAATTAATGAAGTATTTCATTGTATTTTAACTAAACCTTTTCTACAAAGAGGTTTCAGGTTTAACAGCTAGAGTTAGTGCCTTACACAGGTGGCTGGCTTTGTGCTTATTTATACACATCTGTGTTTTCAGTCAAGGAACTTATGTTTCAACGGTTACTTATTAAAGTTACTACAAACTGGGTGGAGGATCAAGATAACAGATGATTCCTTCCCCCCTCCCCACCCTTTACTCAGAAGACAAGATAATGACAAAGTTACTGCCACTGGGAAGGAAACATCTTTTCCAACTTGGTTGATTCTACAGTTCTATGAAACCTGAGTCAGTCTTGTACAGCAAAAAAGAACATAAGGTCAGCATGGCATGAAGCCATGCTCTGTCCTGTAGCACTATTACCACTGTATTTTAGTGCTCAGTAGGAAAAAAAGTCATTTTAGTAACTGTGTGCATGTTTTCCTAGCATTTAAAAGTCTTTGATTCTACTTTAGAAAACTGGTATTTGTGCTTGTACATATATTCTGTAAAATGTTACATGCAGTTACCAAGCAAACATCATCCAGGCCTGATAAACCAGTCTACCATTAGATGGCTACACCATTTTACCCCCCACACAGAGACCATCCTTGGATGGGTGGGCCTGTGTGTAAATGTTTTAATGTATCCAAGTGGGAAATGCTCCAGTTTCTTTTTGTTAGTCAACACTCTTACTTACACAGTCATGCAACAATGATATGTGGCTAGGCAAGCAGTGTACAACTTCAAGTTTCCACTACATGCTCTTCATCTACTTCTCGATATTCTGGCAAGGGTTGTGAATAAACAGCCTACCCTGGCTATATATAGCTGTACCAGTAAGACAGCAATGCAAGGAACTGTGAAATATTCTTGATGTTAAAATAATGCTCAGGTCACATATGCATTTATCAGGTGTGGGAAGTTCCCAGTCATTCCATGTATCCAGGGGAAAGGAATAGCCATGGAGCCTGCTGTCTGGTAGGATGGCACTAACAAGGTGAAGGTGTGAGAAACTGCTACACCTGGTAGATAGTAAATTGGGA